ACAAGATCTTGTAAATATTTCCCTGTGCTGTACGGTATAATCTTGCTTATCTATTCTACGTGTCTGTCAGTATCTAAATTTTGAACTCCCAGTCTATCCCTTCCCACCCCATCCACACATATGTTTTAATGTGAACACGTTGTAATTTCTCAAGGAGAAATATCATGAAATGAGACTTCTGTGTCCTGCGACAAGTTCCTATTTCCTTTTATAAAACACTGCCCGGCTGTCCTTCGAAGTGGCTGCACCGTCTTGCGTTCCCACCCCAGTGGACGGGACAGTCAGTTACTCCATCTTCACCAGACCTGGTCCTGCCGTTCACCGTGGCCTTTCTAATAAGGATACAGGAGGCACCTCCTTGTGGACAGGGGTCGGCGTCTCCCCCGTGATGACCAGCATCCAGCTCCTCTCTAGGTGTTCCTAACGTGTCACCTTCTCTGGTGACGCGCACGGCGTCTTGCCCACTTTCAGTGGAGGGGGAGTTGCCTCACCACTTTGAGATCTGAGTGTTATTTATATTCTCTTGATGCAAGTCCTTTACCAGACGTGCACTTGCCAGTACTTCCTCCCACTCTGTGGCTTGTCTTTTCATTGGAAAAGCAGTAGCTTCTGAAAATGAAACATTTGTAGTTTTGATGAAGTTTGGCATCACTTTTTCCTTTTATGCGTCGTATCCGAGAAATCCCTGCTGACCGAAGGTCACGTGTGTTTGTGCCTGTGTTTTCTTCCATGAGTTTACATAGCCTTAGGCTGTCCACACGGGAGGGCTGACTTCTATGTAAGGTAACAGCTGTCTGGGACCCTCTTCAATGGACTCCACTACTAGACGCAAGTGACAGCTGGGCCTCCCTGACCCCACGCTGGGAGAGGGACTCAGCGAAACTCGGCCAAGAGCAGGGACGGTGTTTCTCACTCTCCATGTTTCCCAGCATGCCGCACATGCAGTAGGGTCTTGTGTCAGCCCCTCCAGGACACATGACAACCCTGGGCCTGGGGACTACACAGCCAGCTGGCCGCGGCAGCTCCCTGGAGGGACGCAGATACCCAACTCTGGTTCCCCTGCCTGGTGCCGCCAGGCTCCTCCCCATCACAGAGCCCAGGAGAGGGACACAGATGTGGTCACTCTCCCCGGATCTGCTGCGTGTCCCGTTTTGAATCCTGACATCGACAAGATTCCCGCTGGCTTTGACTCTGAAGCTGCACATCTCAACGTGAACACCAGCCACAAACAGGCATCGCCTTCTGTCCCAGTGGACCCCCCATCCTTCCCGGTCCCAGAGAGAAAGACCTGTGAGAACTGCAGTCCAGACACTCGTCAAATCAACCCCTGACCCCTTCATGCACTATGAATAATCCTATGCCCCACTTTTCATTCATCCTCCAAAGATATTCAACTCTCAAAGTGCTTCCTGCAATTAACCCACTATATTAAGTGTCTCATTTTTGGCAAGAAAAAGCTAGAAAGGGAAATAACATTTGTGATTGTGTACAATTAACCAGGCACTGTTCTGAGTGTCCCACCCACAAGCTCTCTTTTCATCCACCTCCAAATACAGGAGGGATTGTCCGTCTTAACTAAGTTCATCAGAGATCTGAAAGCAAGCAATAAAAATATTCAAGTACAAGTACTGGGGGGACAGACGTGGACACGAATCAAAAAGTCAATACTGAAGGATCTGGAGCAAATCTTTCCCCACCCCAGGTATGAATACAGGGGCAAATATACTTTATTATTTCTTTAACTAAGATCAGGCATCCTACTTACTCTCAAGGTATCAAAAAATTAACTTCTGTCAAAAATTTAAACAATAATTCTGGAGACAAGCCAGAGAGGACACTGACGGCAGGGGGATACCACAGTTTCTCTGGGGGCTTCCTAAGAAGAAGGACGTGGACGTAGCCATCACACGTTCACAGTTATCATGTCTCTCTGCAAAAAACTGACTTAACAAGAATTACTGTATTCTTTAAGGATGTCAAGACCCAGAAATACAAATAAGGGCTTACAGAAAACTCCCTGATGAGAAGACAAACAGGGCGTTTAGGAAATAGACTGTGGACGCTAAGCCCCCTAGCTAGGTGACTCTGTTAGAAACAGACGTCCGAGGACCTGCAGGTGGGGTCGTGGTGACGGGGGGTCCTCGGGACCGCCTCTGCAGCCAGGATGCTGCCCCCACTCCCTGCCTCCTCTTCCTGCTCTTAGTGCAAATGCTTCGGTCTTTGAAAGCTCCCCCAAACCAAGCTCATGTTTCAATACATGTCTCTCACATGCATTAAACATGTAATACGTATTTTTTATAAATGAAAAAATATAAAATGAAAAATGTATACAATTATTCATAGCAAGCGTTCTATTTTAGTTTACATTTCCCAATTCTAAGAAATTTAAAAAAAAACGACTTTGCTGGTTTACACAGATGAAAGAATCATGTAAGACTCACCTGGCTCTTATTTTCTTCTTTTATGAATTCGGTTTGCAGTGCGAGACTGAAAATATCCTACTGCCTACTGACAGCTGAGTCAAATTAGAAACAGCTGATCGAGGGAGTGGGTGCCGCGTCCTCCAAAACTCTAAGGGCGTCAGAGCTTCTACCTTTGTTTCCGTGTGGTTCTCCTCTTCCCCACTTCTCTCAATACACTGAAATATGTTCCTACTCTTCCAGTTCAACTAGGAGTTAAATGCTGTCTCTAATGGAATATTCCTTTTTCTAACCAGAGTTGTCACAAATGCTGTATCTCTTTGCAAAACACGATACGGGTGTGCTTGGAACTAATAACAATGTTCTGATTTCTGTTGACCATCTAAGTAAAGAATAAAGTTTGAAGTATGTGTTTGATCTAAGTGACTCATTGGAGACAGAGCCCCACGCGAGACACAACGACACGCCAGACTTGGGAACCTTACTGCTTCGCTCCAGCCGCAGGGACGCCCTGCTGTCCGCGTTCTGACCTCCACTCTCGTGAAGGGCCTTGAACCAGTCCCGCAGTCTGCTGGCCACCTCCCTGAGCTCCAGGGCACTGCACGCTGAAAACAGAGACAACACAGATCCTGAAGAATGACTTGGCATAATACGTAATGTCAGTGCTCATTCTCAAAGACGCCAACAACCAAAGGGCAACAACCACCAAAAGAAAAGATGTAACACAACTGCTAACTGTTTTGCTTTCAAAAACGAAATATGTTTCGACATAAGATGCAATGTAACAAGAACAATTCCTTTAATAAAGGAATATTATGAGAAGAATTCTGCCTCCACCCTTTGCTGCAATAAAACACACCATTAAGGCTCTTGCTGTTAACATCACATAAATTGAGTTGTAATATTTACGTGCTGAACACCCGTCATGGGAGGATGGTGGATTATTCGGGGAAATAAAGGATTGAAAACTGCAAATGATTACTTACATATTTATTACCGGCTCCACCTATTACAACAGCTTTCAATTAAAAACCTGCATTAGTACATTCAATATACAGAGGAATTATCAATTATAAACAGAGGCCATTTTTATCTGGTTTAATCCTACATATTTTTTTTGAACACAGAAAAGGAAGAGCTATCTTTTTGACATTAGGAAAGAGTGTAAAATATTTAAGAAAATGGCATATTTCTGCTGTAAAAATAAGGTGTTAGCAAATTTTGACATTTGGAACTTGATTCCTCTTTTAAAAAATATTGTTATTTACCAATATTTATGTTCTTTAAAACAGTTTATGCAATAAAAATAGCAGAATACATTTTATAAATACATATGTATGTGTATCTGTGTGTGAGCCCAATGCTAGAATACAGTATATCAAATTCAGGAGTTTGTCACCAAGATATTTTGAAAATATAAGAAATACTTAATTCCATTGTTACCACAGACCTAACTCCTCTGCAAGTAGCTAACGTGCAGCGTCCTGGACTAAGAGCTTGTTAGCAGAGCTCTTCCTGTGCCTTTTCTGAAAAACAGCGATTTACACGATGGTAAGTGTTATGTGGCGCTTAACATACCTATATACATGATATTACAGGATATATAATGTGACGCGCACAACATGAAGTGCAGTATAGGATAATGCAATAGAATTAAGAGCTTAAGACCACTTCCTACTATTAAAGGAAATAAACTCCAGATTCCTAGGACCCTCCCAGAGCCTAAAGGAGGACGCACAAAAGCAAATCGCTGTGGCATTTCAGGACCCTGGAGGCAAAGAGGAAGATTCTACAAGCTGCATCAGAAACTCACACAGAATAAGGAGTCGATGTCTTCAGACGTTTCAATATTGACACTGACAGGCAGAAAAACAACTGGAAAGTTACTCATATTTTAAACTTGGGATCCTATATCCAGAAAAATCAGGTGGAACCAAAAGTTCAAGATATTTTAAAGAGACAAGATCCCCAGATTAAGCACCCACATGACTTCCCCGGGAGCTGCTGGAAGATGTGACACGGCGGAGACTGGAGATGGGGAGGCCGAGACACAGGCGA